ACTGCCTGAGCCAGGGCCCTGCTCCAGGTACACACTCGGCAGACTGCCACTGGATGGGTCAGTAAATCCTGCAGAGAAACCAATTTCAGCCCACAGAGGACACAAAGACAGCTGAGTGGAAAAAGTGACACAGTCCAGCACAGCTAGCTGGGGTGGCAACATAAAAACTCAGGAAAAAAACATTGCAACCACAACTGGTAATTGCCTTATTAGTCCTTAGGAGACAAACACAAAGGTTTGTTTGTCATGTAAGATCTTACACCTCCCTCCCCAGTACTGCTCAGCCACTTGTCCCTCCATATAAGCATCAGTTAGCATCCCTGCTGCTCCACTTCTGATCCAGCATCCTGAACATGCAACTGAAAAAGCTGCAGATGATGGCCCAAATCTTGGACCCCTGCACCCACGTGAGAGTCCTGGGTGAAGCTCCAGGCTCCTGGCTTTGGCTCCACTGCAGTCACTGGTGAGTGAGCCCGCTAAAGGAAGATCCACCTCTCTCCCAGCCCCTCTTTGGAACTCAGACATTCAAATAAATAAGACTATATAAAACAAACAAAAAAAATAGTTATGATGGATTGGTCAGTTCTGGGTGATCCTTTCTGACCCGAGTCTAGCAGCATGCGAACAGCCCTCATCTCAGAACCTGCAGGGAGACTCATTTTGTCCTCCTTCCTGTCTACCTGGTAGCTACCTGCCCAGACCAAGGAGGCCTTCCAGACCAGCTGGGGAAAGTCTGGATATCAGGGCTCAGACATAGTGGAAAGATGGGTTCCATCTTCTTCAAGACAAAAGTGGAAAGTCTTGGCACATTGGCCAGGACTGGTGTGTCACATGGCAACTGGTGTCTGAGAGAGAGAGCTGGGACATAGAGCAGAGCAGACTGTTACTGAAAAGGCCCAGGTCTGCAGACACCATTCTTATTAAATTAAAAAAAAAAATCTTGAAAAGAACTAAACCTGCAACTGGAGGGTGGGAGCAGGCATGTTGGAGTAGCAATAAAGTTAAGTCCAATCCAACTGCCTGTAAAGGCCTGCAGAAAGCAGAGCATGGTGTGAGTGGCTGGAACACTGTAGCCATGTGGGAGACCCAGATGAAGCTCCTGCTTTTGGCTTGTCCCAGCTTTGGCCATTTTAGTCACTTGGGGAGTGAGCCAGTGAACGGAAAACCTCCCTCTGCCTCTCCCTATCTCTCTGTAACTCTCACTTTAAAACAAATAAATGAGCCAGTTTATATCATAGTGGGTAAAGCCTCTGCCTGTGATGCCAGCAACCCATATGGGCACCAGTTCAAGTCCCAGCTACTCCAGTTCTGATCCAGCTCCTCATAAAGTCCCTGGGAAAACAGGAGAGGATGGTCCACAAGCTTGGATCCCTGTAGCCCCAAAGGAGACCTGAAAGAAGCCCCTGGCTCCTGGTTCCTGTTGCAGACATTTGGACAGTGAACCAGCAGTCCTGGAGCTGCTCAGAGCTCTGGGAACCATGGTTCCAACCAGGCCTGCAGACACTTCACCTAAAAATGACAGGGCAAAAGGAGGCTCCCAGCAACGAGTTTCCAAACAGAAGGTGTGAAACACAGTATCCCTGTTACAAAGGGAGACAATTTTTTAAAAAAGATTTATTTATTTATTGGAAAGTCAGATATACAGAGAGGAGGAGATACAGAGGAAAATCTTCCATCTGATGATTCACTCCCCAAGTGAGCGCAACGGCCTATGCTATGCCAATCTGAAGCCAGGATTCAGGAACTTCTTCCAGGTATCCCACACGGGTGCAGGGTCCCAAGGCTTTGGGCCGTCCTCGACCGCTTTCCTAGGCCACAAGCAGGAAGCTGGATGGGAAGTGGAGCAGCCGGGATTAGAACCGGTGCCCATATGGGATCCTGGTGCGTTCAAGGCGAGGACTTTAGCCGCTAGGCCACGCTGCCAGGTCCGACAATGTTTTTTTAAAATAAAAAAGCACAACTGTAAGAAACAAAAGCAAGTCTGGTGCTGCAGCACAGTAGCTCAGAAGGCAGCCTGTAGCACCTGCTGGTGTCCCACACTGGAACGCCAGCTTCCATTCTGGCTGCTTCTCATTCAGCTTCCTGCTAATGTGCCTGGAAGGTAGGGAACATGGCCCAAGCCAGGCTGCCTGCCACTCCTGTGGGAGGCCAGGATGGAATTGCCAACCCCTGGCCGTGGTGTGGCCCAGAGCTCGTGTTGTGACCATTTGGGAATGAACTGACAAGTGGAAGCCATCTTTCTGTTTCTCTCACTCTGCCAATCTACCTTCCCAACAAATAGACACTGCAGAGAGGTACCCATGCATTGAGCAGTAAGAAAGGAGGGTGAATGCACTGTGATTCACAAGGTAGGGACTCCAACTCCATTACATTTGATGAGTACAAACCATGTCTAAATATTCTTAAATGTCACTGACAGCTAAGTGGTAGTAAGAGACACTAGTACACTAACAGAGGGGTCTATGCAGCTCAGGTCTCCTCCAGCAGTCGGTGCCCCAGTGAGTCAAGCACCACAGAGGGGAATGAAGGGTGGAAACTCTCCTGCTTCTCAGGCTTGGGCACACATTCTTTACAAGAGAGGATGAGTGATCCAGGATGCCTGTGGGGCAGTCTCTGCTATGGTGGCACTGAGTCTGGGTCTAATTAAAGACCAGGAGTCCCAGCAGAAGAGCCTGGCTCTCCCCACCAACAAACAGGATCTAAGTAGGTCAGTACCGGGTGCAGACACGGTCTGCTCCAAGTAGACTCACCTGTAAGGTTAGGATCGCTGAGGGCAGCAACAGACACAGCCAGAGCATCATCTGCAGGGTGCATCACAAAGTCCTGCCTGTGACTGGGGACCAGATGTCCAGCCTGCAAGGAAATATCCTTGGAGGATGCAAGCGCAAGGGACATCAACCATGATTCAGAGGCCACCAGAGAGGGCTCCACAACACTACTGTTGGCAGGCAGAGTGCAGAGACCAGAGCCAGGGCAGATGGTGAGGACGGAGGCAGGATCATGGCCATGCTCTTCCTGGTGCATCTCACCACCCTGCAGGAACCTGGAAAACATAGCAAAGACTGTCCCTCAGTCGACAGTGGGGGCTACACAATGTAGGCTCGTCTAGGTTCAACCACAAAGCGCAGGCCCAGCACAGCACTAACACACTGCTCCTATTCTTTTTTTTTTTTTAAGAAGAAGGGTTTTCTTTATTTTTATTATTTTTTTTATTGGAAAGGCGGATATACAGAGAGGAGAGACAGAGAGGAAGATCTTCCGTCCGATGATTCACTCCCCAAGTGAGCGCAACGGCCGATACTATGCTGATCCGAAGCCAGGAGCCTCTTCTGGGTCTCCCACGCGGGTGCAGGGTCCCAAAGCTTTGGGCCGTCCTCGACTGCTTTCCCGGGCCACAGGCAGGGAGCTGGAAGGGAAGTGAGGCTGCCGGGATAGAACCGGCGCCCATATGGGATCCCGGGCGTGCAAGGTGAGGACCCTAACCACTGCGCCACCGCGCCAGGCCCCTATTCTAAACCTATGACTGCCACTACAAGGACTGTATTCCTAAGAAAAAAATCTAGAAATACAAAAGACATTTATGTAAAAGATTGATTAATTTGAAAGGCAGAATTATAGAAAGAGAAAGAAAACACATAGAGACAAATCTTCCATCCACTGGTTTATTTCCCAAATGGCTCGGCTGAGCTGGTCTGAAGCCAGGAATTCCATCTGGGTCTCCCACATGGGTGCAAAGACCCAGGGAGTTGGTCCATCCTCTGCTGCTTTCCCAGGCTATCAGCAGGAAGCAACTAAAATTTAAACCAGCAACCACACAGAATGGCGGCACTGCAGGGGCAGCTTTACGCACCACACTGCAACGCCAGACCCAGGGCTAGACTACACCAGACCTGGCTTCCAGAGATACTTCATGAAGACCAACCACAAAAGCATTCATAGTTTATTTACAATGAGCTTCAATGCAGTGTTGGCAACTTAACATGATTAGCAAAAGCCCAATAGTCCAGAAAATAAATGCCAGTTGATTTTAAAGGCATACAAGGCAGAAGTTGGTAACGAAGCATTGCATTTCAAGGAACGCTCACTGCATCCCCTCCCTTGACTTCAGTAACACACCATTTTACAGCTGGAATCGAGGTCATACGAACCTACCAGAGGCCCAGGTACAAATGTCCTCAGGAGGGACCACATGCAACACAAGCGTGTGACCTAACGATCAGACCTGACATGAACCTCAGGCCCACAGCTGACAAACACTGAGCTCTCTGTACTTTCCTTATCTTTATGAGGCAGCAAATATGGGCTGGTTGGAAAAGCAGCAAAAATCAAATTCTAAAACTCTTTCATGACCTGTTCCTCCTTTTCTCTATCTGCCTACTGTGAGAAGGACTAACTAAATAAGCCAAGAAAAAACACTACACGCTTAAAAATCCTTCACTTAGCAGCAGCATGGCCTCCCCCTAGGTGACTTCTGGACACCTCACCACTAGGAAACCACACCCCCAGCTGCCCTCAGGACTCAGCCTCAGCCTTGGTCTGAGCTTGGATTCTTGGTTCACTTACACTCTTTCGAAGCTGGTGTTGAAGTGTGTTGGGTTAAGCTGTGGCCTGCAACTCTGACATCCCATACTGGACCCAGCAGTCTCAGCTGCTCCACTTCCAAGTTACCTCCCCAGCAATATACCTGGGGAAGCAATGAAAGATGCCCTGGGTGCCTGGACCCCTGCCACCCAAGTGCAAGACCCGGAAAGAGCTGGTTCCTGGCTTTGGCCTCGCCTGGCTCCAACTGTTGAAGCCATTTGGGAAATGAACCATAAAATAGAAAAAAAATCTCTTGTTCTCCTTTCAAATATATTGTTTTAAAAAGTGCACTTGGTTTTCCTGTAATAAAGCCATATACTTCTTCTCCAAGGTTCAAAAATGCCTGCTACAGGTGCTCAGCTTCTTCCTTCCCACATTACTTCTGCGAGGTCTTCCTGGCAGTACACAAAGCAGAGTGCTCAGACAGCATTCTGCAAAGGAGAAAGGTGCTGACTGCACGGAATGCACAACAGACAGACTACAGCAGACTCACAAACCACAAAAGCTGGGGTCGTCTGCAGGCGAAGTCAATCTCCCCCCTTTTCCCAAACACACATGAAGGTGGGCCTCACTCCATGTCAGGTTCCAGAGTCACAGCTGCTCTGTCTCTGACGTGGCTTCCCTTCCTCCAATCAATCAGCAGTCACTGACCTGGTACCTGTGCGGTGGCCCCAGCACACTCATGCCCACTCCCCATCCTCACCTTCAGCTGAGAAGGCGAACGAACAGGTGAGATGGCCCCATAGCACGTGAGGACAACAGTACCTGGGAGCCAGGGGCCTTGAGATCGTCTCAGCTCCAGGAAGGTCTGTGACCAAGGCCAGGGCCTCCCAAGGTCTTTGGAGGGCGTCTGGAGACTGCGGAGGTACGCCGTCCCTGGGTCAGGCTGGAAAAAACAGAGGGAAGGAGAGGCTTCGTGACTCTATCTCGGCCTCCCTTCCAGCAAGTAGAGCAGGGTGTGGCCACTGGGTCATCAATCTTTGCTGTGAGCTATCCCCAGACCCACATCTACTCCCTGATCCCCACACCGATGCCCATCTATCTCCACATGGCAATCTGGGCACACGGGTGGGGGGCCGGGCACCTACAACCTCACCTACACCATTCCTCGGCACAGTCTGACTCTCTCTACCTTCAGGATTAGCTGGCCACCAGGTGAGGTCTTGACTGTGCTGAACATTGGTGAGGTCTGCACCTATAGCCACAGTGCCCCTGTTCCAGTGTCCCGTAACAGTTAATGCAACGAGGGGGCTTGTCAGAAAGCAAACCTCCAGATACCATGATGCTAGGGCCTTGGAGACACCCACCGGACCAATGACACCAGCGGTCCAGACGTCTCTCCTTTGTACTGGGGTCTTCGGCCACCACCCGCTGGGCTGGCTGCACATGCTGGAGCAGGGACTGCTGGCACCGCCGGTAATTAGCAAACCAGTTGTAGACCTGCTCTGCAGTCAAGCTTGTCTCCAAAGCCAAACTCTCCTGTCCGAAAACAGCACAATTAGCTTTGTTAACTCCTGGTCCGTGCCCACACTTCCACAGAAACCAAGCTGACCTCTCCAAAGGCAGCAGAATCGGCACCAGCTGCGCTGGTGGCTGACCAGGGCCTCTCCTAGCCACCTGCTTGGAGAAGACACAACACCTCCCAGGCCCAGGCTCAGTTCGGGAGTCAGGCCAGGCCAAGCGTCGTAGGGAGCCGAGCCTCAGCAGGCCTTGTAGAGCAGGCCCGCAGTGTCCTGAACCTTGCAGAGCAGGCCCACAGTGTCCTGAACCTCGGGAGGGGCCCGCTGTGTGCAGTCACCGCCCCCAGCACCATGCACCCCACACATGGGGCGACCCTGAGCAAAAGCCCCAGCAGAGAGGGGGGACCCAGCCCAGTAAGCAGCAGACAGGAGAGGCCACCAGGAGGAGCCATGCGACCGCGGGACGGATGTGCTGAGGGAGCAGGAACCAGGCACTGTGGGCCAATGCCCCTACCCTCAACCCACACCCAGTACCAGCCATCTCAGCCTCCATGCCTACAGCCACACTGAGAACCTAAGAAGGCGACTGGGACTGCCCTCTGTAGACTAGGCACAGGGCACGCCCTCCCAAAAGAGGATAAAGAACAGGCGTGGGGGCAAAGGCCCAGGGACAGGCAGCTGAGGCAGAGGTAAGGCTTCCACCTGTTCTTACCCGCTGAGCCTTGCTGGGGTTAATGCTCACGGCCAAGGCAAAGTCTTGAAGCCTCCTGCGGACCTCTCTGGGGAAGTTCCGACTCTTGAGGCCATCCGGGCAGAGGCCTGCGGGTGGGGGATTCCTGGAGGAGATGAGAACAGCACAGTGAGGGGGCCCAGCGGTCCCCTGCCCTGTGACAGCAACATTTCTGAGGCAAGGCTGTCCCACAAGTGAAAATCAGCGTCTAACCCACACACCTGCAGGCCATGGCGGGGAGCTCAGCCCCAAGACCCCCAAAGAGGGCTCCAGGATCTGGGTTCCCACCCCTATGTTTTCACATTTCCATGTGGCTTTTCCCTGTCCTCCCTGTCTGCCCATGGGACTTATGAGGCAAAGTCCTTGGCCTTCCCACCCATCTCTCAGTGCAGCCCCACCCCCATACCCTTGCGCCCTTCTCTGCCCAGCACTTCCTCCCTAGATTTCACTGAGTTATCATCACTGACTTGCCACCATGGCGCCTGCCAGCCCACTGCACCCCTCAAACACATGGGGACCCCAGCAATGAGGCTGCAGCTGATGTTCTGTGTATTGGCTCCACTTCCCTGCCTCCCTAAGGACTTTCCAGATTCCATTCCAATTCAAGTGTTTCTTGCACCAGAGGCATCGGGGCTGGTAAACATTCTGGCGGCTCTCACCTCCCCCCAGCCCTCCGGCTGCTGCCTCAGTCAGGGCTCTCCCAGTAAAACTTCTCTAGCTTCACCCAGGGTCACTGAGCCAGCTCCTCCCCTCACCACGGGCAGCAGAGGGTCACTGCTGTTCTCCTTTATCACCCTGGACTTCCCTCCCTGCATGCCACACCCCGCACTTCCCCTCACCCCCTGGCCACTCCTCAGCTGACCACTGCAGGGGGTATGAGGAGCAGCTAGGCTGCTCAGGCCACTGGACAACATCCCCAGCACTACTCCTGAGATTGAAGCCTCCTGGAGCTAGGCAGGGGACATGTCCAAGTTGGTCACAGTTTTTCGCCACCACTGAATATATCTTCATTTCTACTGAGGACAAATATCACTTCAGTTGAAGATTTCAGCTGCAAAGCCTATGTGGACGTACATAATGCAGTGGGCACCTTACACATCCCAAATGCAGCTCATCTCCCTGGAACCACTCACCCCACCCCTGCCCTGTGTGCCTTAACAAGAACCACCACACTCCTGGTTCCAACCCAGGGCCAAAAGCCCTGGAATCTCTTCCCTTTTCACTGCATACAACTGTTCTTGGGCCATGATTTGGGTCCTGGACAACGCCTGAGCCGCAAAGAGACACCACCCTTCCTGACAGCCCTCAGGGTCAGCCAGCACCATCAGAATACAGCCCTGGGCTCTCCTTGTGGTTCATCAGTCACTCTCCCCGCAGGTGAAAATTCAGCCACCACCTGTCCCTATGGTTACAGGCGAAGGTCACTGCTGCATTTTCCAAAGGCTGTGAACACCCCTTCAGCCAGCGGACATCCCCTAAACCAGAGGTCTTAAGCCAGACCTCTGAGGTTGCCACTCCCTCTGCCTTAAACACTGGTGCTCACAAGACCACCACCATCCCTCAGGTAGGGTCTCCTTCCAAGGCTGGGACAGACCTGCACTACCAACACTGAAGAAGCCCCTCCCCACAGCCCAGCCCCCTCAGACCACGGTCTCTGCAGAGACCTGCCTGCTAGCGATGATCGATCCGCTAGCACTTCGTGGTCTCATGTCAGTGCCACCTGCAGGAAAGCAAAGCCTAGGGTGCCCCAGCATCCAGACCCAGGGAGTGCTCCCCAAACAGCTTGAGTGACAGGATGCCACCCCTACACTGGTCACCAAGTGGCTGCCTCTGCTGGGCTTCCACTGGCAGGCTGTCAGCCTCTGTGTGGTGGGTCACACAGCCCTAGCGGTCCCAGGCTCACTGACTGCTGGACTCTGAAGGACTTGCCTCACATTGGCCTCCCTGCAAGCAAGCCTCTGTAGTACAATCCATCTCTTCTTCCAGGAGCCACAGGGAGGGATGGGGTAGCACTCAGAACAAGACCTGTAAGCCTTGCTTGGCAACAGAAAATAACGTAAGGGCATGGCCAACCCCTCAGGAGCCCCTGACACACAGAGCTAAAGCCCAGCAGTACCTCTTCCTGCAGTGGAACTTCTGCACCGGGGTCAGCGCAGCTACACCCAGCTTCCTCCTGGCCAGGTCGTAGTGAATGTCGTTCCAGAGCTGCGCCAGCTCACGGCTGCCTCCTGGCACCCGACAACCCTGTCAAGGAGAGTCCACTAAAGCCACATGTTGGTAGGAAGAACCAGGTCTGGATGGACCCACGGTTAGCAGTGCTGAGGGCTACAGTGGGAAAGGAATAAACAGGCACAAGCTAGAACCTGGAACAAGTGACATCAAGCGGCCAGGGAGGCATCAACTGCACAGAGCAAGGTCTTGGCCTCCTGCAGAGGGAATGACATACTGAGAGGGATTCCAGGTGCCGCCAGACTGGGGACCGGGTGATGATGGGTGTACCTGGCCATCTGATCACTGTCAGCGCTTCAAAGCCAGAAAGAAATCAGGTTTCACTCCACCTGCTGTGTTTATGAGCTGGCACCACTTGATGCACATCCAGTACTCAGATTCCCAAGCTGCTTGTAACTCACTCAAGTGAGAATTACCGGAACTAATCTTTGTATAAAACACCTCTCCCAGGCAGCCCTAAGGGGTTGGTCTGTGAGATGTGGGCCAGCAACTCATTGCTAGCTCCCGGCATATGGATAATGCTTGAATGGTGCACCCTGCCCCTCCTTCCAATGGCCACTGAGCCCACATGTACCTCCAGAAGCCGGCAGGCTGCCTGTTGCTGCTCCTGCTGGGCCAGGACACGGGCACACACCAGGGCCACATCTGCATTGTCCAGGAGGTGCGGGCACAGCTGGCTGTCCAGAATGGCAGAAACCAAAGGCTGCATCTGAGTGAGGTCATCTTGGATGTCATGGCACAGGCTGCCTGCGCCAGCTCCGCCGGGGGTGGGTGGGTGTTCCCGTGCTCCCTCAGCAACATCAAGAAGCTCTGCATCATACCACTCTGCCAACAAAGACCAAGATCAGACCATGTGCACACAGCAGGCCACACTGCAACCTCCATGCCAGATCAGCTGTGGTGCCCAACTGGGAATGGCCAAGGACCACACGCCTGCAAAATTTCCTTCTACCCTCCACCAGAAAAAGTCTGAATCCTGAGAGGGTGACCCCACGGGAGAGTGGCCAGCACTAGTCCACCTCTTTGTCAACACTATTACTGATGTCATTGGAATGAGGTGGGGAGAGAACTCCTGCTAGTCTACTCCCCAAATATCCACAAGAGGCTATGCAAAGCCAGGTGAAAATTAGTATGGACCTCCCACGTGGACAACACAAACCGACCACCTGCACCTGAGCTATCACCCGCTGCTTCCCTGCCTCCCAGGGTGCAGTTGGGGGCCAGGCTTGAACCCAGATACCTCACAACGATAGGTGGGATCCCCAGCAGACTTAACTGTTACTCCAGAGCCTGCCCCCAGTCACCTGACTTCCCTGAGCCTCCCTTTTCCCCACGAGATAAACTTGATTCTGTTTCCTCGGGGAGGCCCCCAAGGCGTTCCGGGGCACTTGCCCACTGCCGCTGCTGCTCACTGAAAACGCTCAGCTTCCACAGGTTAGCCCGGAAAGGGCGGCCATGAGCAACGGGGTCTGTACCCAGAGCCTACCAAAAACGCTCCCGGGCTAAAGCCTAGGCCTCCACTTCACCTGGTGCCCTGTGCCACCGCCAGGTCTCACTACAGTGCCAGCTCTCTCCTCATGGGGTCCTGACCCCTCACCGCCTCCTCACTGGGTCCCGACCCCGAGTCCCAGCAGCTCCTCACATATCCTCAACCCGTGTCCCAGCACCTCCTCACCCGGTCAGCCCCCACAGGGTCCCGACGCCCCCTCACCCGGTCACAACCCCGGTCCTGATGCCCCCTCACCCAGTCGCGACGCCCCCTCAGGGTCCCGACGCCCCCTCAGGGTCCCGACACCCCCTCACCCGGTCCCGACGCCCCCTCAGGGTCCCGACGCCCCCTCAGGGTCCCGACACCCCCTCACCCGGTCCCGACGCCCCCTCAGGGTCCCGACGCCCCCTCAGGGTCCCGACACCCCCTCACCCGGTCCCGATGCCCCCTCAAGGTCCCGACACCCCCTCAGGGTCCCGACACCCCCTCACCCGGTCCCGACGCCCCCTCAGGGTCCCGACGCCCCCTCAGGGTCCCGACACCCCCTCAGGTCCCAACGCCCCCTCACCTGGTCCCGACGCCCCCTCAGGGTCCTGACGCCCCCTCACCCGGTCCCAATGCCCCCTCAGGGTCCCGACGCCCCCTCAGGGTCCCGACGCCCCCTCACCCGGTCCCAATGCCCACTCAGGGTCCCGACAACCCCACAGGGTCCTGACACCCCCTCATCCGGTCCCGACGCCCCCTCAGGGTCCCGACGCCCCCTCACCCGGTCCCAATGCCCCCTCAGGGTCCCAATGCCCCCTCAGGGTCCCGACGCCCCCTCAGGGTCCCGACGCCCCCTCACCCGGTCCCAATGTGCCCTCAGGGTCCCGACGCCCCCTCACCCTTTCTCGACGCCACCTCAGGGTCCCAACGCCCCCTCACCCGGTCCAGACGCCCCCACACCCGGTCCCGACGCCCCCTCAGGGTCCCGACGCCCCCTCAGGGTCCCGACACCCCCTCAGGTCCCAACGCCCCCTCACCCGGTCCCGATGCCCCCTCAGGGTCCCGATGCCCCCTCAGGGTCCCGACGCCCCCTCAGGGTCCCGACACCCCCTCACCCGGTCCCGACGCCCCCTCAGGGTCCCGGCACCCCCTCAGGTCCCAACGCCCCCTCAGGGTCCCGACGCCCCCTCAGGGTCCCCATGCCCCCTCATGGTCCCGACGCCCCCTCAGGGTCCCGACACCTCCTCAGGGTCCCGACACCCCCTCACCCGGTCCCGACGCCCCCTCAAGGTCCCGACACCCCCTCAGGGTCCCGACACCCCCTCACCCGGTCCCGACGCCCCCTCAGGGTCCCGACACCCCCTCAGGGTCCCAACGCCCCCTCACCTGGTCAGCCCCCTCAGGGTCCCAATGCCCCTCAGGGTCCTGACGCCCCCTCACCTGGTCCCAATGCCCCCTCACCCAGTCCCGACGCCCCCTCACCCGGTCCCAATGCCCCCTCAGGGTCCCGACGCCCCCTCAGGATCCCGACGCCCCCTCAGGTTCCCAACGCCCCCTCAGGGTTCCGACGCCCCCTCACCCGGTCCCGACGCCCCCTCACGGGGTCACCTTCTCACGGGTCTTCACTCCAGGTGCCAGCATCCCAAGCCCTGGACCCGCGTCCTCCGAGAAACCGGGGCTCCGGGAGACCAGGGCGGTGGAGGTGGGGGAGCTCCGGAAGACAGACGGCAAGGAAGGAGCGCGCACCGGGCGGGGCCTCCACCGGGCTCACCGACCTGCCCTACCGTGCCCGCTGCTCTCGCTGCTCTCGGCCCGGGTGCAGCCCCGGGTGGAGGCCCAGGCTCACACCTCGTGCTGGGCGTCCAGGGCTCCCGCCCCCCACGCCGACTCACCTGCAATACCGTCCACTTCCCGCTTCCACTGCGCGGACGTGCCGCACAAGCTCCTCACTCCCGCGGGACCGGAGGCACGGTCGCCCGCTGGCCCAGGACTGGAGTGGTCGCTCAATGTATCCACCCGCGGCCAATCACGAGGGGGAGACTGGCGGGGCGGGGGCGCTCAGGGGCAGCCGGAAGGAGTGGAGCTGCCTGGGGTGGGAGCCCTCTGCCCGGGGCGGGCGGGAAGAGGCGCGCTCGCCCCACGCGCTCTCCCCACGCACTTGCCCCCTCCCAGTTTCCTGGCGCTGGGCGCTGCTCCCCGAGACCCGCTCCCCGTCCCCAGCCTCCCCGGAGAAGGCGCTATTGGAATCCACACGCGCACGGTTCTGAATGCCCCCAAAAGGGCTCTGCTTGTGGGCAGGGAGGGGTTCCGACCCTAGGGCCTGAGCCCTAGTGACCACCGCACCGAGGAAGACATTAGGCACCTGTCGTCAACACTGGCCCCCACGATCTGGCCTCGCCCCTGCGTGCGGGGACACATGACTCTTGTGCTGCAGACCGACCACGTAGGTTTCCAAGGTGGGCCAGGTCAGACATGAATACAATTTTATTTTATTTTTATTGGAAAGGCAGATATACAGAGAAGAGGAGAGACAGAGATGAAGATCTTCCGTCCAATGATTCACTCCCCAAGCGGCCGCAATGGCTGGAGCTGAGCCAATCCAAAGCCAGGAGCCAGGAGCTTTTTCCGGGTATCCCATGTGGGTGCAGGGTCCCAAAGATTTAGGGTGTCCTCAATTGCTTTCCCAGGCCACAAGCGGGGAGGTGGATGAGAAGCGGGACTGCCAGGATTAGAACCAGAGCCCATATAGGATCCTGGCATGTTCAAGGTGAGGACTTTGGCCCCTAGGCCATCATGCCGGGCCCTATGTGTATAAACTTTTAAAACATATGACTTATTGGGCCCGGCGCGGTGGCGCAAGTGGTTAAAGGTCCTCGCCTTGCACGCCCGGGATCCCATATGGGCACCGGCAGCCCCGCTTCCCTTCCAGCTCCCTGCCTGTGGCCTGGGAAAGCAGTCGAGGACGGCCCAAAGCTTTGGGAACCTGCACCCACATGGGAGACCCGGAAGAGGCTCCTGGCTTCAGATCGGCATAGTATCGGCCCCTTGCGCTCACTTGGGGAGTGAATCATCGGACGGAGGATCTTCCTCTCTGTCTCTCCTCTCTGTATATCCGCCTTTCCAATAAAAAAAATAATAATAAAAATAAATCTTTAAATAAAACATATGACTTATTTATGGAAATTTTTGTAGGGTGGCTGAATTCAGAGTTCTGTATTTTCTGCTTTGTGTGTGTGAAACAGCTGCCTGTATGTGCCCTTGCATATGCCACACCTCTGAGCTTTCTGTTCAATGTACATTTCCTGATACGCATAGAGTGACTCCAACTAGTGTCTCTCCCAAATTTCTTTTTAAAGATTTATTTATTTTTATTGCAAAGTCAAATACACAGGAAGAAAGACAGGAAGATTCCCCCATCCAATGATTCACTCCCCAAGTGACTGCAATGGTCGAAGCTGAGCTGATCTGAAGCCAGGAGCCAGGAGCCTCTCTGAGGTCTCCCACATGGGTGCAGGATACGATCTCAAGGGCTTGGGCCGTCCTCACCTGCTTTCGCAGGCCATAAGCAGGGAGCTGGATGGGAAGTGTGGGTTGTGGGGATACGAACCAGTGCCGATATGGGAACTCCAGGCACGCAAGGCAAGGACTTCAGGCACTAGGCTAACGTGCTGGGCCCCCTCTCCAATATTGTTTTGTGGGCATCTCTTCTCCTGTGACTTCAGGGATTTTTAAGATTTGTTTTTATTGGGAAGACAGATATACAGAAAGAAAGAGATACAGAGAGAAAGATCTTCTGTCCTCTGGTTCACTCCCCTGGCGGCCACAACTGCCAGAGCTGAGCAGATCTGAAGCCAGGATCCAGGAGCTTCTTCCAGGTCTACTACATGGGCGCAAGGTCCCAAGGATTTGGACCGTCCTCTACTGCTTTCCCAGGCCACAAGCAGGGAGCTGTATGGGAAATGGAGGCTATATGGGATGCTTTTTTTTTAAAGATTTATTTTTATTATTTTTTCATTGGAAAGGCAGATATAACCCTAACCCCAAGTCCTGCAAGTGGGGCATGCTCTGAGATATTCGCTCAAGAGGTTTCAATAGTTCACCAGTTATGAATCACTGCCAATCTCGCCCCTCCAAACACGATGAGGTCGTTGAAAAATCCACTGATTGACATTGTCCATCATAGCGTCTCTATTTGCCCGGTATTTTGTTGCCAACCTATAGCTGAGGTGGTTGAT